AAGTACAGATAACCAAAATTTCTACTTAAGTACAGTAACAAAGTATTTGTACTTAGTTACTTTACAATTCTGGTTGAGATTAGCCGTGTCATGTGACACGTCTTACCTTAGTGAGAGTGATGAGTAGGCCTCGGATGGAAGTMACAATTATAATTCCAACCAAGATGAAAGAAATATGTTGAGACCAAAACTTAACCTGGAACAAGAAAAATAATCAAACATAAGGAAAAATCTAACTTACAAGCATAAGATTTAAACTAGTGTTTTCAAGAATGAGCAAAGACCCTGTTTACATMTGAATGCTCTCTAGAAATAACCCAAATTTTTCCATATTGATTGTGAAAAAGTTGCATGTTTACACTGTAATGCTGTGCTCAAAGAGTCTGCAGTAGTTTCCATACCAGGTCAATAGCTGGATCTGTGATTTTGGTATWTCAACAATACACCCATGCATATTTTTATCTCAACTAGGACTCTCCATTGTTACTGTTGCTCATCTCCTCACACAAAAATAGCGCCCATAGTGCTTCCATATGATTTCACATTGATGCTGGGCATTTAAAAAAAAAGGTTTCACCCTGAGACCTGCATTCAAAAAGCTTTGGTGTCAAGAGAAAACAACTGCTGCTGTCGCATACACAAACAGCTGCAATGCAACCGCAAGGCTACAGTTTCACTTAAAAACATGAACAGAGCCCAGGGTAGCTACATGTATTTGATTTTGTAAAGACGATTCAACACAAGCGGAAAGAACAGATGAGAGACGATAATAACAAGCAATTATCTTTACAAGGGGTCACAGCAGGTATGCATAGGCGTGTACCTGTACTAATCACAGGGCTTTGCAGCTCTTTAAGGGACATAAACAAATCGCTTTGAAGTAAATCATTAAATTTAACTATGGATGCTTATGTGCTATGGTTAGTGTAAAGGTTAACGCAGMACTAGCTACAAAAGGAGTTAAGAGTAGGTCAGTGTTAACACCTCGGATGTAATGAAAGAACTTTGGGTATGCGWGTGCACATGCATGGGTTTCTCACATCGAACTGGATGCCCAGGTAGTTCACTGTAATTTCAATGCCCCTCGTCACCGGATCTGTCTTTCCAACTCGATCGAACACAATGTTTATTGTGGCCTGTAATAAAAAAAATGTTTTTTTATTATTAAGATGAATACCACTGTTTGCTGTTATAAAACACTTGAATATACACCGCCTGGCCAAAAAAAAATAAAAAAACTGCTACCTGGATTTAACTAAGCAAATAGGTAAGAGCCTCCTATTGGRTRATTACTGCATTGRMAATTATCTTTCAGCTGGCAACAATTTATTTAACCCCAACTGGTGCAATAAGTCGCTTCTCATTTCTTAGACAACCATGTGGAAAGACACATGGCTAACCAGAAAAAAGGCTTCAATTTGCTAGGGAGCATAAAGATTGGATTCTGGAGCAATGGAAGGTCATGTGGTCTGATGAGAACAGATTTACTCTGTTCAAGAGTGATGGGGGCATTGGGGTAAGAAGAGAGTCRGGTGAAGTGATGCACCCATCATGCCTAGTGCCTACTATACAAGCCTGTGGGGGCAGTGCTATGATGTRGGGCTGCTGCAGTCAGTCAGGTCTAGGTTCAGCAACARTCTGTGCTCAAAGAATGAGGTCAGSTGACCTGAATATACTGAAGGACCARRTTATTCCATCAAGGGATTGTTTCTTCCCTGATGACACAGTTATATTCCAAGATGACAATGCCAGGATTCATCGGGCTGGAATTGTGAAAGAGTGGTTCAGRGAGCAKGAGACATCACAGTCCATAGAGGATCTTCGGGATGTGCTGGAGAAGGCTTTGTGCAGCGGTMAGACTCTACCATCATCAATGCAAGGTCTTGGTGAAAAATAATGTGACACCGGATGGAAATAAATCTTGTGACATTGCAGAAGTTTATCCAAACAATGCTACAGCGAACGTGTGCCAAAAGCAAAGCTTAAGGTGGTCCTACAAAATATTAGAGTGTGTGATTCATTTTTTTGTTGTTGGCCAGGCAGTGTATAACAGTATAAAGCACATGAGAGTAGGAGGTATGTTACAGTATATTCATGTCTTTACCATGAAAATTTTCCAAACGCAATAGATGGAGAAGAAGTAACCAAGAAAGTTGAAGTATTTTCCCTGAAATGTCTTCGAGTATTCAATCCGCTCCTAAAAACAGCAAAAACGGTTAACAAATAGTTCAGTCATTTTTCACATGGAAGCAAAATAGATAAATATTTCTAATAAGACATGCTGTGCGTTATAATAACTTAGCTACTTTTATTTCATTAGTTTCATTTAAAGGACTTACAGCAAAAGTTTGTGTGGATGCTTCCAACATAAGTGACAACATAATATTTCTGTCTAGAGAAGCTGAAAAACATTGTATTAACTAAAATAAAGATCAAACACCATACTTTTAGCTATTTCAGAAAAATATATTTCTTTAAATGCTTTTATTTATTTCTGTTTGTGAAAGTGAAAAAAAGATGAACCTGGATTCATAAAACACACTAAAACAATAAACCCAGATAAAAGATCAAGTTAAACATTCCTAACCAGCAAATACTGTATGTTGAGACAGAAATCCATTTTAAAGTTCACACCTTTGTTTCTTTTTTTATGTTTGTTGTTGGTTTTCAGAGCATTTTGTACAAATAACTTCTCTAGTTAAAAGGAAAAGAGAGTCCATATGCATCACCAATGTTACCTTGGTGGCCTGCAAATCCACAGTTTCAAGGAAAAGTTGTCGACTCAACTCCTCCAGAGCATCAACTTCTTGCTGGATCAGAGAGAGATCTGAGGGTAAAAAGTTAAGGATGATATCAACTTCAGTGACTGTAAACAGTAATCATTGAWCTGAACATGAAGAATGCATGCATTTAAATTGAATGCAAAAATAAAGGATACTTTCACTGCCTGTTTGAGTGGAAGTGACACTCTTGATCATCCCCCACAATCCTGTCTGTTTATTCTGGTCCTCCCCTCGTTGGTACATCTGCCTCCGTGTCATAGCAATCCTTCAGTTAAAATAAGATGCAAGTCCATATGTAGTGTCAAAACAAAAACAAATGCCATCAGAAGTTTAGAGGGGGTGGGGGAAAGTATAATTTCTCACCGCTTCTTTTTGCTGACAATCATGTCCATAGTTTGGAGCAGTCGCCTCTCTAAAGCAAGGATATCACTGTCTGTGACATTCCTATTAAAACATAAATAAAAAGAATTGTTAGTATTGGTTTTATTAGCATCCTTCAAGCAAAAATACAACTGACCGTTATATGTAGTTGATCATATGTGAGCTGAGATTATTTTTTGCATGATCTGGCTGCTAAAAGCAGCGTGACAAAAGCCCAAGAGATGAACTCACCTTAGGAAATAAGACATATAGGTGTAGGGACAGTTGACAGCACCGAAGCCCGACAGCAGCGCCATGAGAGTGACACCGATCACTCCAACGCGACTGATTAGCTGCTCAATGGACAGAATTCCTGCAGAAAAGTCAGCAACACACTGAAAGATATTTTCTGACTGATTAACTGAATKTTAGATACAGCCTTAWATCTTTTATTTTGTGATYKGTTGTCATCACTAACACTACTTTAACCAGTAAGMGAGTCAACAAGTCTGTAGTTAGTGAGCAGCGTGACTCTCACTTATGTTGATGTAAGAACCACCCCAAAGGGTGTGACCAGGGTGTTCTATAAATATTATGGTTTTTAAAAGGACATCAGAGGAATCAGAGGAGTTAGAAGCCATTTTGTTTTGATTAGACTCTAACATGGGCTCTGAGGGTGAAATGGAGTTTTTAGATCTGAGACTAAACAATTAACTGACAACTGGATTGGGTTTTCTGCGTTATTCAGGCTTTCAATTTGTGAATATTTTCTTACAACACAAAAAAAACAGAACTATTAAAAGACGAGATATTTATAAATGTGACCCATCATATCGAAATGAGGATTAGGTCAAATTTGGTCAAAATGACCTAATTACATT